ATAGTTTTGAGTATTGAAACCACAATCCGTTAGTACTCAAAAATGCTAGTGTTTGAATGGCTACCAAATGAAATTCTCTATGAGATATTCTCTTTTTTGAATCCGCTCAATTTATATTCGGCATTTTGCGATCTAAACAAGCATATAGACAGCGTTGTTGTTTTACACCATCTGCATGCCAAGCTGGAGGACAATACCTCTGAGGAAACGATGCAATATTACTTCAACCAAATCATATCTCGTGCACCTCACAGGATTTGCTCATCAATATTGGGTACCGGTAAACAACTAAAGCAATTCAGCGAACAATTTCACGTTGAATACTTTACAAAACTTCAATACATGTCATTGGCAGAAGGAACAGTAGATGAATATTCTACAATTTTGCCAAAATTAGATTATTTAATTCATGTGAGTATCAAATATGCAAGATGCTTTAATAACACTGATGAAAAAAATTTGAGCCATCTCGTGAAACATTTGTTCAGTTCAAAATCATTAAAATCGTTTTCTCTGCGTGACGGATACTGTAAAATACGCAAAGAAGATTTGTCTGATACACCGTCAAACATCAAAGTGATTGACATTCAGTTACAGACATTAAATGATTTGACAGAATTAGTATGTAATGTCTCGAAATTGAGAAAACTCTCAGTTGGAATCTTCAATGATTTATTCGACGGCGATATCACAGTATTATTTCAATGTTTAACTGATTTAAGTTTATCGATTTACAACATCGAAAGTGACACATCAGTAATGAATATATTGAAATAATGTATAAAACTAAAATACTTTTCGTTTACACGTCCGCAACATTGGTTGAAACCGAGCGAGTTCAAATCATGGATAGTTGACGGTGCAGTGTGGTCATCGGTTTTTGAGCAAATGCCCAATCTGAAGCGAGTTTACTTTGATATTTGACTAAATCTGAGCGATAAAAGTGAATATGTCGAATGGTACAATACCCGAACGAAGTCCACGAAAGTGGGAACATTCGCTATGTATCAACAGATCATATGTACTTGAAGTACACATCTAGATGTTATCAACTTCATTTCAAAGTGAATATTACTAAAGCAAAAAACTGCATTTTGCCTATGAGTTTTCACTAAATTTGTCTCAAGTTAAACGATTGGTTTGATTCAATGTTTTTATTACAATTGTTAAGCATTTATTTTCCGAATTTATGCACTGTATCACTGTTCCTTAGAAATGAAGGTATTTATAAAATTCTCAGCAATAGATATCTATCATTGTTATTGACAAAAAAGATAGTTGAGCTTGAGCTGTTCAATTCAGACGAAATTTTTTGGGATAACGTGTGCATAGATGATTTTTTAACAATATTTTCTAATGTTTCCGAATTCAAAACCTTTTATAACGTTAAAGAATTCGATCGTATATTACCAAAACTAATGAACAACATGAAAAAATCAGAAAAAACGACATTGATGATATATGATTCCGATGATTCTGATATCGAAGGCATCAAATTCTGGCTTACCATGTGTCCAAAGATAAAACGTTTTCGTTTTGATTATTATTGGGAAAAACTCATTATTGAACTCGTGTAACATCAACTTAAGATGTGAACAATTTTCTTTTTTTACGGGTAAGACTCTAACAATGAACTGAACTGCTAAAACAGCAGCTTTGATACTTGTCATTTGGCTTTAAGGAATTATAAGGAATTATAAAGCCAATTTCAAAATATAAAGCCAATTAAGACCTTCGCGTGATGCAATAAGAAGATTATCCAATGAATGAACATTAAACTTTTTAGCGTCATGAATTAAATGAAAAAATTCTTTGTCAACTACTTCACGATCCCCTGCTTTAGCATTTAACACGTCATCCGGCAGTCGGAATAACAATACAGGTACATCAGATGGTCCATTCACAATAGGTATACCTATAATCTACCAACGTTTGGTTTGCGTGAAATGGCCAACTTTAAGTCTGTGCACTGTCGGTGATCTTCCAACATAATGCTGTTCCCACGGTTCTGTGCCAATATTTTGTCCAGGATTTTCCAACCATACGATGTGTCCTCCGTCAGGATTAAAGTCTGTGATTGTCCTGCCATAGTCAAAACAGATAATAATGTCCTTAAATCCATTGCCTGTAATATCAGCTTGATCCATAGCTATAGGATTGATTAGCTTTTGGATACGAATCGGCTCGACTTTTTCCGTAGTTGTCCACGAGTTTGGGTAAAAACTGATCTCTCTGTCGGAAAGTCCATAGGCTACAAATCCAATAGGAGTCTCATCGTCGGCTTGAAAAGCTTCAATCCAGTATCCGTCTTTAAGATGTTCCTCGATCATCTGTTTCTCAAAAGAAGGACAGTAACTTCCGTTATCATAGCGTTGGGATGAAACGTGCAATAGACACAAAAATGTAACGAAATGCAAGAAATAATGTCTTGCGCCTATCGTATCTAAGTATCTTCCACACATTCACGATTTTGAATGAAACGTAACGAAATAACGAAAGGCGCAATTATAATGAAATAGCAAGAAAACAGTCACGAACGAAATGAATGAAATACGATTATTGTGCAAATGCTTCCATAACAGCCAGAAAACCCTAATTATTGTACAGCTCGGTTATCACCAGGTTCTTGAACTCTTTTACAAAACGGGGCATTGTCATCAGATTCAGCGTTATCGATTAACTAGAATCCATCCATTTCCGAAGTTACTAATACACAGTTGGCATCCAGGCGGAAATTAGGTGAAAAATCGAAGTTGCGCCTAATTCAAATACAAATAGTGGAAATGTAGCCCTTTCAAAGGGCTATCGAATGGTATATAAATGTCTATTTTGAAAATGGTTCCTACTACGAGAAATCACGGTACACAAAACCGATTACGGATATCGTTATTACATACGAAATAAAGATTCTTTGCTTACTCAGTTATGGTACCCGATTTCAAAGCAGATATTCAGAACCAGCATGTCTTCCGCTATCTATTGATAACAAAATATTTCTATTTCGCCACCGAATTCAATAAGTAAGAGCGACATGTTCTCCATCACGTCAGTCCGTAGTAACAGTACTCCAGTATAGTCGGATCCCCCTCATTAGCCCCACGCCAAAATAACATTCAAACACATCATT